CCGGAGCCTCTGCCTCCCTTATTGACCCAGCCTTTGGATTTTGTCTTTTGGATTGTCCCTTTGCTACTCTGCGTCCTGTGGGATTCCGGTCACGCATAAGGACCCTCCTATTCCACGTATAGGTTCCGTGAGACCTACTAGTTTTCGGTTTGTCCGGCTGTTCGGTTTAGAACGGCTGCCTTCTGGGTACTGTATGACACATTCCACTTCTTAACAAGAACTTCACTGTACTGAAAAGGGATAAATATGCTTCTGGTTTTCTGCCACTACAGCACTGAATTGTTTTGAAAGCTCCTTGGTCTTGATGGTTAATTTGTAATATCACTATTCATGTCCTGTCTTGAAATTCAATATCCATCTGAGGTAACGTACAGAAATGGGATGCATTTACTCTTTAAATGAAACCCATTAGATTACACCAATACCAATACCCTAATTCTGTCACCTTTCAAACTACTACTTTGCACAGGAATCTATTTAGAGTTGCTATAGGAAAGGGATTGAATACCTATGCCGTTGTTTAATTAAAAATTGAACAGGTTTACATACGGTATTATCAGCATTTTTAAGCTTTTTGGTTTGGAGTACATTGTGTAGATTCTAAATAAGGTAGTATAAAAATTGTCGTGACTGTAAGCTGAGGCTTTGCAAGAGACTGAAAATAAAGTTAAATTTAACATTAAAGTGGAAAAGTTTTTAATACACTATCTGGAGGAAATGAAATGTTGAAATCTTGCAAAGGAAAATAAAACCTGATCTCACACTCATAAGTAAAATGTATAATGCTGTTATTATCAAGCACTGAAGAGAAAGAATGAAAAGTTTTCTATTGCAAAACTTTAACTACAGTACAATTTAAACCAAACCCTATAACTTCATGGATTCTGTTTGTAATTTAGGAAATCATTGTATCAGAAATCTATTTGAACATATTGCATTTTATTCATGATAACACCATGTCCTATGTGAAAGCTACCTGTACAGAATGTGGAAGCTTCATTCAAGGTGTTTATCAAAGACCTGAAATGTGATTCAGTTCTCATACATCGCTGTCAAAAGAGTATCCTTTTGATCAAACTGAATCCACTACGGTAATTAATTTGGAAAGTGAGTGACAGAGTATGTTCATCTCTTGCTGAGAACCCAATAGAACCTCTCACAATACTCATCTTCACAATACTAATCTTCCTCCTTCTTGCCTGACAACGTTTTACACAAGAGAATCTGACAGAATCGAGAGACAGTAGAAGTGAAATGGACATGACTTCACTGAGACTTGTTGAAAAACAATTCTTGTGGAATAGGGAAGGCTACTTTTCCACTGCACTATCACATTACTATACACGTTGTTTCACTTAGCGTGCTGAAATATAAAGAAAAACACTCCTACAGCAATTCCTAATATCTTGCAATTAAAATGGATTAAACTTCAGAATGTAGCACATATATACTGTATTCTTGATTTGTATTATCCCTGTGTAATAAAATGCTAAATACTGTGTACTTGAAAGTTGTTTTTAATTTGAGAAGCAAGGCTTTTATGAAGCAATTGTAAATCCAAAGGACTTTTTTCTCCTTACAATTAGCTTTATCGTTCTTGGAGTTTTTTCATGCCTTCATAAATGCACACTAAGTACCCTGCTATTGTAATAATACAACGGAGCAAGTAATAGGTTTATTCCATGCTGAAGAAGAAGAAAGACAACAACGTTTCGGCCGTGGAGCCTTCTTCAGGTGTGAGAGAGACAAGGCAGTAGGCAAAGGTAATGTAGCAGGAGAATAAAGCCTGGAAGAGAGGAGGAGTGAGAGGTGGGAGCAGGGGACAGAAAGAGAGGCCAATCAAGAGGTGTGAAGTCAGAATAGGTGTAGAGAGGTGTGAAATGAAACTTCCAATGAATGGGGAAAATTTAAAAGAACAGTAGTCTGTCGTTAAGAGAAGGGAGAATGTGTGATCCTAGCTGCAGGATAATTTTGGTTTCGGTAGTCTTTCTGATGTATGAGTTCGGAAAACCATCTTTGAGAACACAGACGGAGAGATTAGAGTGGTCGTGGCCATCAGAGGTGAAATGAGAAACAATGGGCTTGGAGAGATCTTTAATCTTCACAGCCCTGACGAGTTCTC